TATGTCATCATACTGGGAATCTTTGTCTGTTTTAATTAAAATCTTGGCGGTTTACTGTGCTGCTGAACAAAACCTGAATAAATACGTACTACAAAGACGTTAGTGAATTTTGATATATGTGCGGCAAGTACGAAGTAACATTAAACATCCCCACTCAAGTTTTTTGTTTGGTTAAGATGTTGTATGTCGATACAATCGGTAATTCAACGAAAATGAGCTTTTCTTGAATATACTGCTATTCCGAATGGTCAACAGTTACATTCTCATCTATCACGATTTTTCATTGGCACAGTATTTTAATACATAATCCAGAGTTTGTGATAGGCGTATTCAAAGGATAAGCTTAATGGTTCAGAACATTCAAAGGTCCTTGAGCCATACCAAGTGGAGGGTTGCATTAGGTCATCAGTATCCCAGGATTGAGTAGAAGCAGGTGTAATAAAACTATTTGCCTTTTTACCTTGACTCGAGCAAGCCTTGAAATCTACACTGAGTGAAAAATATTTGTACGATAATCTAGTGCATCCAGTGTCGTCTGCCATTAGACTGCACATATACAGTGAAACGAATGGAAGCATATCTAACAGTTGCAGTATATTTACTACCAAACCAGGGCCTGGCGATTATGAACGAAATCGTTTAACCGTGCCAGCGAATTGATGATGTCATCGCCCGAAAAAATAAAAAAGGTGTGATATAATCACTATCCAATTTGCAGCCCGTGTTCTTTACAACTACATGTTGGTACATTTGAACAATCTTTATCGCGGATGACTTATAGTAGTTCTCCGACCCGTCAGGATCAGATACTCAAAACGGCACCTGATAGGTCTGTCCTGCTCTTGGTACTTTTTATGTTCCTGATGAAGCCACCTCCCCAAAGCCTTTAGAGAACTAACTCCCACAGAAACTGGGGAAAATAATCTGGGTTATATTGTTTTCTAGAGATATCCTTATTAAGAAAAGGGGTTCGGTTGGACTGTGTTAATCTGATTTTAGAAGATGGAGCAGTATATCTCAAGGCAGACACCGATATTCGGCGGAGGGTAACAGTATAAGGTCTGATAGATTCAGGTCGCTTTTAATCACCTGTCGAATAAAAGTTGCTCGGAATTCTAGGGATTATGTGTCGCAGCAATGCCCATAAGCTAGTTGACGAATGGATGATTTGTGACTACACCATGTGGTACAGTTTACCTTTCTAATTTTGCCTCTTGAAGTACCTGTTAACATGTCTCTAATACTAGAGATTATTAAATATTTATATGGATAGCAATGCTGCTTTAAAGTCACGATGAACTTTACGATGGGCTCTTGTCTCAAATAACTCTCAGTATCACTATGTTCAGAAAACAGAGCCCTATAAAGGCAGTATGTTGTTTCAGCGTACAAGCTGACATTTCCAACGGTCGTTTAACATCTGACATTGTTCAAAAAGATCAAAGCTTGCTACAGCTGTCATAAGATCCACAATAACAAAAGCCCAGTATGACACTTGTCATGTTTCAGTTAATTTCTCACTGGTACTGTTGACTGAACACAGCTTTGTCTAGAATATCCGTGAAATTTACAATAAAGACGATCTCCACGTTGTCATGAACATTCCTCGAATGAATAATTCCTTTGTGAAATATGACAGTCCGAGACTACTTTGAAACTTAAGGGAATTGATTAGATTGCTGCAGAGGTCAACAGCTTTGCCATAGGGTGTTTGGGGCTATTAAATAAAGTTCCCTGAAATTGTCTTCCGTGCGGATGGTTAACACCCAATGAACAATGTTCCCGTGATTTGTTTTTTAGCTACATCACAGATGTTAAACACATTTGGAACATTCATCATAACAATTTCATCCGAGTGATTTGAATTCAAAAGAGAAACGCTTGTAGATGAACATCATTTAGAATGATCTTAAAACATCTCATTTTAATAGATCTAATTGTTGACATTTGTTACTCAGCACTAAGCATACATTCGGGTTAGAAAAACTAAGAGAATTTGTTTAGTTGGAAACCAATCAAAACTCCGCCAGTAGAACCTTCGAGGCTATTGCCGGTTCAAAGCCCGCATAAAGGAGGAAGGTTGGACATGGGGTTGGCGACCCCATTCCGTCAAAAACCAACCTGCCAAAAAAACGCTGACCAGAAAAACTAATTCAAACCATTTTAACTCTGCCCTGGGAGGTGGAAGAAGAATTATGACGTCGCGTAATGAAAGCCAACTTTCCTCGGAAGTCACGTGGCCGATGCCTCTTCTGACAACCAGAACAACCATTCTTTTAGGTACATGGAACGTTCGTAAACTGTGTGAGACTGGAAGACTATTTCAAGTTGCTGCAGAAATGAAAAGATACAAACTCGAGGTGCTCGGCATCAGTGAAACACACTGGACACAGGTAGGACAACTGAGACTAGCTTCAGGGGAACTGCTGTTATACTCTGGTCATGAAGAGGAAAATGCTTCACATACACAGGAAGTTGCACTGATGCTGTTCAAACAAGCACAAAAGGCACTGATAGGATGGGAATCTCATGGACCAAGGATCATTAAAGCATCCTCAAAAACAAAGAAACAGGACATTACAATGAACGTCATCCAATGTTATGCACCAACCAATAACTACAATGACGACGTTAAAGATCAGTTCTACGAAAGACTGCAGTCAATCGTCGATAAATGTTCACCAAAGGATTTGACGATTCTTATGGGAGACCTGAATGCTAAGGTTGACATGGACAACACTAGATATGAAGACATCATGGGACGACATGGACTGGGAGAAAGGAACGAAAACGGTGAGAGATTTGCAAACCTATGTGCCTTCAACAAACTGGTCATAGGTGGTGCAAAATTCCCACACAAACGCATACACAAAGCCACATGGAAAATATGTGGAGGATCTAGCAATGACGGCGGAAAAGGCTGCAAGAGACGAAAACTTCAGACAATTGTACGAAACAACAAAGCAGCTCGCCGGAAAATATCGTAAACCAGAACGACCAGTGAAAAGCAAGGAAGGCAAAGTAATCAGCAACACTGAAGAACAGCGAAATAGGTGGGTAGAGCACTTTCAAGGACACTTGAATCGACCAGCTCCACTGAACACACCCAACATCGAAGCAGCATCCACGGACCTCCCAATTATTATTGGCGCACCTACAATTGAGGAGATCAGTATGGCCATCAGACAAATCAAGAGCGGCAAGGCAGCAGGACCAGACAACATTCCAGCAGAGGCAATGAAAGCAGATGTAGAAGCAACTGCGAAAATATTTCACATCCTCTTCAAGAAGATTTGGGATGAGGAACAAGTACCATCAGATTGGAAAAAAGGATAACTGATCAAAATACCAAAGAAAGTCGGTCTCAGCAAGTGTTAGTACTACAGAGGCATGACTCTTCTTTCAATACCAGGCAAAGTCTTCAACAGGGTATTGTTAAACAGAATGAAGGACTTCGTAGACGCCCAACTTCGAGATCAACAGGCCGGATTTCGTAAGGATCGATCGTGTACTGACCAAATTGCTACATTAAGGATCATTGTGGAACAATCAATTGAATGGAACTCACCACTCTACATCAACTTCATTGACTACGAGAAGGCATTCGATAGCGTGGATAGGAAAACACTGTGGAGGCTACACTACGGTGTGCCTGAGAAAATAGTCAACATCATACGGAATTCTTATGATGGATTCAACTGCAAAATCGTACACGAAGGACAGCTAACAGACTCTTTCGAGGTGAAGACCGGTGTCAGGCAAGGTTGCTTACTCTCACCCTTTCTCTTTTTCCTGGTGATCGACTGGATTAGGAAGACGTCGACATCTGGAGGGAAGCTCGGTATCAACTGGACAGTTAGGACGCAGCTGGACGATCCGGACTTCGCAGATGACCTGGCTCTTCTAATGCACACACAACAACAAATGCAAGAGAAGACGACCAGTGTAGCAGCAACTTCTGCAGCAGTAGGTCTCAACATACATGAAGGAGAAAGCAAAATTCTCCGATGCAACACAACATGCACCAACCAAATCACTCTTGATGGAGATGCCTTGGAGGACGTTAACACCTTTACATATCTGGACAGCATCACCGACGAGAAAGGTGGATCGGATGCAGATGTGAGGGCGCGGATTGGCAAAGCGACGGCTGCATTTCTACAGTTGAAAAATATCTGGAACTCCAAACAACTTTCAACCAAAACCAAAATCACGATTTTCAATACAAATGTCAAGACAATTCTTCTGTATGGAGCGGAAACTTGGAGAACTACCAAAGCCATCATCCAGAAGATACAAGTATTTATTAACAGTTGTCTACGCAAAATACTTCGGATTCGTTGGCCAGACACTATCAGAAATAACTTACTTTGGGAGAGAACAAACCAGATTCCAGTGGAGGAGGAAATCAGGAAGAAGCGGTGGAAGTGGATAGGACACACATTGCGGAAAGCACCTAACTGCGTCACGAGACAAGCCCTCACATGGAACCCTCAACGCTAAAGGAAAAGAGGAAAGATATGAGAGGAATGAACAAACACTGGACAGAACTGGAGAAGGAAGCCCAGGACACAGTTGGTTGGAGAAAACTGGTGAGCGGCCTATGCTCCCTCGTGGGTAAAAGGCGTAAGTAAGAAACCAATCAATTGAGCATTATTGAGTAGTGTATTCATAAGCTGATGATTCTTGATCATGTAGTATTCTACTAGTCCAGCAACCTAAATCGCAGAAACTGATTGTGCAAGGTTATACAATAGTGTACATCAGTTCGATGGACTACATATTCCTAACAATCGAAATGAAATTACTAGCTACTTACTGGGAGTTTTGCGATAATAACACAACATTACGATGCATGACTACTCTATGTATCTTGATTAACCAATACTAACCTAATTTTAGAATGGTTTATCAAACTACGACAACTTTTGCTGAGCTATATCTGTAGTCCGCAGTATCTTAAAATTAACCTATATCTTCAAGTTAAAGTATTAGATAACTTTTGACAAATAATACAAATATTTATTTCTCTCAAATGAGGTGAGTGCAAACAAATAAACATTCTTTGAAACAGAAGAAATATATAACAACACTCATAGAAGACAAGAAACTTTGTACATGTGTTTCTGAATAGTCACGTTGGAGAAAAACTACAATCAAAAATAGTCCATATTGATTTTGGTACAAAATGTAGTTCGAAAAATTGAGTACAGAAACACTTGTTCTCTAAAAAAGTTACAATGAACACAATCTGGATGAAAATGCCAGGCGGAAGGTGAAAATTACACGGTTGTATAAAATACCGCGTAAATTAATTAGAAGCACTCTTTGTTATAAAACATTAAGTAAATAAAAAGATCACATTTTACGAGGTAACATATATTATAACCTTTCAGAAATTATCTACTGGTGCATAATATGGAATGAAATAACTTCAAAAGTCAAAACTAACACAATTTTTCATATAGAGTATTATTCATCTTTACTTTGAATTTCCCCATCTGCAAGCCTCCGCCACTCGCATAATCTGCGATGATAACTCTTTGCAAACGCTTGAATAATGGATAACAGAAACGATAGTATAAGTCCAGATATCAGGATAAATAACACAAACTGAAGCCAAGTCTGTTGCTAAAATTTAAGTTGGAAACAAATTAAGAGAACAATAAAATGGTTTGAATTACTTTACAGAAAATGTCAACAAAATATTCATTTATTGAAGTACAAATCAAACATAAAACATTTGAGTTTTGGATGATTTATAATGAAGTTTTCTTTCCACAAACTAACTATGGAACAGATCATAATAAAAAATGACAGATGGAGAAATTCGAACTAAAAATATGATCTATGATATTTGCTCTGTACAATAATTAACTGGTTTGTTAAGCACCTGATGATGTAAAACAAATATTTACATCATTGGAAATTCACCCAGGATTTGAACCATACACAAAAAATGAGATTCGTTCAAGAAACCAGTCATGTGTACTTGCATAAAATAATTCTTACGAACATATATATATATATATATATATATATATATATATATATATATATAGGCGATGTTGTATCATACATACCAACCTAGTGGTAAGTCAAACGGAGAGAGGGAGTCAAAGACTCATAATGCACGTTAACAAATCAATCTCTACAAATAATAAATTAATTCTAGTAACAAACCACTAACTAGAATAAATGGTACTTTAAATTACTCACTCCATTAAATTCTTTATTGTGTAGACTAGCCTTTTGCTGTTGTAGATATTCAAGAAACGGGGATTGCAATTGCTTACCATACACCGGAATACGACTAAAATTGTTGAAAAAAAATTAACGAAGACCTAAATAAGTTAATTGTTTGTATGAAGTAACAGTTTGCAAAAGGTGAATTACATGTTGGTATATATGAAGAAAGCATACAAATTACCGTCTTGTGAATCCAGAAAAACCTACCAGTTAAATGAATCGTAAAAGAATAACTTTCGCTCAAAACAGCTTGTACACTGATTCATTTAGGTTAGTACATATTAACTCGCAACAGCTTGCACTATTTAGACATGATAAAATGTTTTCCTATTGTGATAAAAAATGAGGTTAGAGCTAAAGGGTAAACAGTGGTTAGTCAGTAATTTACTGCTCAATAACATTTAAAATCTTTTGTATCCAGTCATCAGTGATTAATAGGGTGCATTTATACAGAAAGCTCGATCGGCTTTTGCCAACTTGCATCACCTATGGTGCAGGCGTGATATCCGTTTGGAAACCAAAGGACGAGTGTACTGTGCAGCAGTTCGCTCCGTCCTACTATACGGATGCGACACATGGCCGGTGAGAGAAGAGGACATTCGTAAGTTGCTTGTCATCGATTATAGGTGTCTCAGAAGCATTGCTCGTATATCTTGGGTCAACAGAGTAAGAAATGCTGTTGTTAGGAAACGAGTACTAGGTAGGGATAACAAATCCATTGATAAAATAGTAAAACTCCATCAGTTGAGGTGGTTGGGACATGTATTACGTATGCCCAACCACTGACTGCCTCGACGAGTGATGTTTTGTGGTGTAGGAGTAGGTTGAAAGAAAGTTAGAGGCGGCCAAACATGGCACAAATCCATGAAGTCACTGACAAGTAGACTGAGATATGTTGGTAGATGTAGATTACCTGGTTGGAGTCAGCGAGACGAAAGTCACTGATGGTTAGAGACGTTAAACGACATGGCTCAAAATCGTTTGCAATGGCGCAGGTGCATCCATTCTTTGTGTTCTCTGAAATCCTAATCTTCAGATTTCATCATCTCTATATTTCTCTTTCTAAAGTTATCTCACTAGATTATACTCCTTCAATAACATCTTCAAACCCTAATCTTCTGCATTACTGCTAATACTTCTACTATCTCTACCACTATTGGGTTTGAACTGACAGTTGCGTTTCCGTGCTGATGTGGTATGGAAACTTTAACTTAAGTACGTACGTGCGAAGTTCTACGTTGTAACTGACTGGCTGCTGACTGAATGGGGTGCACTTAGAACTAATGAGTAATTCAAATATATCGTAAAGTACTAAGGAAAAGTGCAGTTTCAGATCTAAAATATGCGAAAAAACCTTTCTAAAATAATTGAGTACATAAACAGTATGTATGCCGTTGATAGTGTACTGAGATCGAAATTACCTTTTCAAATTACAAATATTACTTAGCAGTTCCTGTAATACGATACCATACCTGTTTGCAGTTTTCATTGTTTAATTGATTGCTTTATAAAATGATATAATGTTGACTTACTATTTTTTAATTATAGTAAAGTTACTTATTTGATAATGTATCGATTTAAAATCCAACAAAACGACTTTATTAAACTTGATTGGCGAAAACAAAACACATAATCTAGGTAACTTCGTAAGCAGAAATGCATTTCATAAGTTTTTATCATAATACTAAAGAGTGGATCGACAAACCATAAAACCGAAATTTCTCAGAATTTGTCATGAGATAAATTTTTATAAGAATCTTAAAAAATATTGCATATTGGCATTCCAAATTTTAAGCAAGTATTTGCTTTATTTGCCTCGCATAACGGAGACTATCTGGATTAAATAGTTTAGAACATAATTTGCTGAAAAGTGTCTTTGGTTCGAATTCTAGCTTCTTACTTTTTTTCTCTATCCTTTATGAAGTCCTAAAATAGCTGTTGTCCGTTTGTAGGTGGTACACAACAAAGTAAACACTGCAACCCGAAATCAATACAAATCTTAATGGTGATGTAAACTACACCCACCTCCAAAACAACGTGCTTCTCTTCTCGGAACACGTCAGAAGAATTTAACGTAACTTGCTTTTCGCGTTTCACTAATGTAATTTCTTGGGGTAATACAAGAAAAGTGATACATACAATTACATGTAACCTGAGAAGGATAGCAGATAACGCATGACTGTGTTATAGAAGATGATCCGTTTAGCCGCAAGACAGATTCTGGATAATGCTTCTTTAAGCCTGAAGTCAAATGTTTCTTTACTTTTGTTACCCTCAGACTTTTACACTGACTGTATTCCTTTTACTTTTAACTTCGGTACCCACATAATTACTAATTAGATTTTATGAATAGACGTCGTCCCTCAGATATTTTTCAATACTTATCAGATTTTAGCTAGTCAGAACACTAGACCGTCGTTACTTTGTAGTTGACTAAATCGGCGCTCACAAACGCCATGTGTAATTTACACCGCGTATCATTCAAATAAACTGAATGCCGATTTTTCATCCGACATTCATTGCATCATTGTGCCAAGAAAGTAGAAGCACGTCCTTTTCATGTCTACTGATAAACTGAATGTTTTTATTTTGCTTTGATGAAGATTTATACATAATAAAAATGCACGTTGTTGATCATTGTTAACGATAATGAGTCATCAACATATTTGCAGTATGAGTTAATTCTACTGATTGCATAGTTGAGCACGATCTCAAGATTATTATATAAGCGACTACGTGTTACATGACAGAACATCTTTTAATGGAACTGAGCGAAAGTATGTGATGAAAACAGATAATATCGTGTACGTTATTGTAAACTATAGGTCAGTTAGCTACAACGAAGAACTTGGTAAGTATGAACATCAGTTCAAGTTGGCGTACCAAAGCAAAAAGTGATCCAATTGTCAAGTCAAATTCCTTAGTGTTATTAGAGGTAGTAGAGGTAATAGCGGTAATCAAAAAGATTAGAGATTGAAGATACGATTTGAGAAGTATATTCCAGTAGAATCAATCTGATAAGAGAAAAAAGGTAGTGAGGAATTCAGAAGATCAGAATTTGAAAGAAGATAAAGAATGGATGCATCTGCGCAATTTCAAAGTAAACTATAGGTGATAATAATAACTGAAAATAAAGACTATTCAATATAAAGGAACGAAAGGACTACAAGATCTTGAAATGTTAGGAATTTAGAAAATTGAAACTATTTTTATCAATGTGAAATTCAGACAATAACAAGGGAAAAACAAATGAACATGAAAAAGGAAAGTAAAGATCAATGACAAAAGGTTTTCTTCATGGGTCCAGATATTAATGTCCTTAGGGAAACCTTGTACGATAATCATAAAAAAAAGTTCAAAATAGAGAACAACATCAACGTACAAAGTTTCATGTCGTTGATGACATTGAAACTAAGTGTTCGATACAATCAAAGTTTCGAAAACAGCAAACAGTTATTTTAATGAAATGCAATCAATTAGTATTCGAAGAAATGATATAAGCCACCTACCCAATTAACTCAACTAGTGTTTCTACATGGTGCTCAGAACTTAAAGCGATCACAGTTAACTGTTGTAGATGAACTTTGATCAAGGCTTTGCCAATAAAAGTTGCTCCGAAGAAAGACCAAAACGGCACCAAAAAGTGTCCACATGTTACCCCAGCTAAATCGAACAGTGGATTAGGAATCTGAATAAAAATAAAAAGTGACACGTTACTCGAAAATGTTTCCGAAAATTTCCACAGAATATACAGAAATAAAGAATATAAGAGACAACAGTTGATTCTAATAACTTCATCATTAGGCTCTAAGGTTTCCAGTCACAATTACATTATTATTATTATTATTATTATTATTATTATTATTATTATTATTATTATCATTATTATTATTGCTTAAACAGGTAATTATTCGTGCAGAAGGCCACTAATAATAATGTGCCAAACAAGTCAATCAGTTTGTGTGTGGGCAGAAACACTGTCTTAGTGACCGAAAAATGTATGAACTTCTGTTAGATGAAGTTTTCTGTATCTATTTTGTAGGCTTAAGTTATAGACCAAGTGACAAGTAAACAGTTTGGCCTAGAGGCCCAATCCACAAGGCAATGAAGCAACGTTAGGAGGTGTGGTTTCATGGTCGCCGGTGACCAACAACAATACTCTGGAGCCCATGTGCACCATATGCACTATCGTAGTCGAGTCCGCCGTACCCACCAACCCGGTGTAAGCGTCAGACATTCACTCTTCGTAAACAACTGTGTCACGACAAGGCGGTGATTAGTAATTCCCTGGTAATGTGGGTATATACACTTGGTCGTACGACAGGGTTCGGGAAGGGAGGACGAACTCTCTACACTCGGTCGTACTAGGGCGTTTGGGAGTTATTGCATTAGTATGGTAAATCTATTGAAAGGAATTACCCACTCGAACATTCTTTATATTAAATATATTTTTTGAAAATTATCAGAAATATTTGTTATACAACAGAACTTATATATGTTTAATAAAGTGCAGGATCACCTTAAGAATTAACCAGCTTATTTAGTTAGTCCGTATGATATTAAAATTCCATCAGTAAACAAAACAGATTTCAATAAATAAATCCTCGAAGTTTCGGCGAGTTTTTTCACTTTTTTAAATATACTAAGTCCATCAAAAAGACGTCTACATTTCACTGCATGCAGACGAGCGGTGATAAACAAGTTTGTAAAGAAGATAATAATAATTTTGTTAAGTTAATACTAAACTCCCTATGAGAAGCTAGTTGCATTAGAAATCTTCGCATTCCATTATGAAGCCTGATGTATTAAGTAATGATGATTATTTATGAAATTATTTCAAAAGCATTACAGCTAATGCTAATTTTATGTTAGTCATGGATATTTACAGTATTAAGAGGAATTCCATGATAAACCTGAATTTCGATTCAATACAACAGATGACTGAAAAATGGTTTCTACGGGTTACCGATGATACATTAAATCTAAACTAATTGCTATTTCAATAATCCTAGATTTTAGAGAATATAATAGCAGAATCTAATGGACAGACACTAAGTAACCTAATCTGGAAAACAAGTCAGCTACATGTTCAGTTAAAATCAACCCAATCGACAAAAAACAGGTCTACAAAAAGTACCGTTTATTCAAAGATACTTAGATTTCATCGACAACTGAAAATGTATTGATTGATTGCAGGTATTCCACTGCTATGGGAAACAAATTTTTCGTGTTAGCTCCAGAGTGTCCATGTAAGAGTTGTGTTTTACTATGAATTTATACTTCTAACCCAACAATTTTTGTTGCATCAGCTGCAACATAAATAGGAACTGTACATTATTTTTCTAACATTAATCATATGCTGGTAACGTATTTACTAATCAAGAATACCTTAAGTTACACCCTAACACTTTATGCACATATTGTTATCAACCTTGAGAATACGCTTTTCAGGAATTTTTGTAAGCATCTCTTAATTCATTAAGGTACTGAAACGGTCTAACGAAGACACGGTAATATAACTGTTCTCTAATGACTAGGTTTTTCGTTGCATTTACGAGAAAGAATTGCTGTAATAGAGAAATGAATGAAGGTTGACCGCAGGAAAACAATTTTCATATTATATTTGAGGGCAATACTATCCAGCATTAGTTACACTTTGTCCACTTACGTAGTGAATCAGTGATACAATATAGAACCGTTCACCTTTCGTAACTATCCCGACCGAAGCTGCTACCTTGACGTGGTGGTCGGGCTTGCCTATCGTGATGACCCAACCGAGCTATACTGGCTGGAACACATGTTCCTGCAGGTCCTACCATGCCAGGCAGGTCGATTGGAGAACGATGAGACTAAAAGCAGCTACCCAAGGTCTGAGGGCGAAGTCGTACTGCTGACTGCAGAGGGGTGTGACAGCAGTAAGGTGTTTCCCTCGGACAACCAGCATCTGCAGCGATGCTGCCTTCTCACAAGGAAGGAAGGGTTAGAAAAGGTCGGCCCTAAAAATGTCACACCTCCCCTACCTCACGGATTTCCGTCTCCTTGGGTAAGGGTGCCCACTAAGGGCCTTTAAGAACGGAGCTAATCCTCTAAATACCTTTCATAAAAAGGCCGTGCGTGACCGGCCTCAAGCAGTTGTCCCTTGGACTCTGCGGTCACGCACCAACACTAATCCATCTTCCTTTTCAGGTTCATCAAGAAACAACCTTCCACGGTGTGGGCAGCCGGGAAGTGATAACCGCCCTCATACCCGCAACAGCACACGAGACAAAATTGTTCAAAATCAAATCCTTCCTACATTCCCTAATACCTCTCTTATCTCCACAACTAACTCTTCTCACATTCATTTATTACAGTGCACAGCTAATGCAAACGATGCGAGTTTGCGAAACGTCGTTCCTGGTCTCCTTAAACCCCGTTCCAAACTACATTTTGGAGCATTCAATGTACGGACATTGTGTCAAATAGGGCAACAGGCGTCATTAGCTAGGACTTTAGAATCTCGTGCCATCGATGTATGCTGCGTCTCGGAAACGCGCATACAGGATCCGAGTAGCATCACTCATTTGACCTCACCATGTCAAGATAAAGAAGCAGCTCGATTCACCCTTCGTGTATCCGGTAGCCCTGATGCTGCTTCTAGGGGCCTCGCCGGTGTAGGTATAGCATTGAGTCGTAGGGCAGAACAATCTCTCCTTGACTGGATCCCTGTAGATAGTCGCTTGTGCGCTGTCCGACTGAACGGGACAGTAAGGACTCGTAAAGATAGGGACACTCGCCGTTGCCTCTTCGTCATATCAGCCTACGCCCCCACTGACTGTAGCCCAGATGATGTAAAAGATGAGTTTTACAGAAAGCTTTCGGACCTCCTCCAAAAAGTTAAGCGCTCTGATATAGTTATAATGGCTGGTGACTTCAATGCACAAGTAGGTAGACTGAGTGAAAATGAAAGACACCTAGGTGGATGTTACGGTCTCGCGGCTCAAAGAACAGACAATGGCGACCGTCTGTTGCAACTGTGCGCAGATAACCAACTGTTTCTAGCAAACACTAATTTTAAGCATAAAGAAAAACACCTTTTGACCTGGCGACCCCCGAAGTCGTCTCAACGTTGGACACAACTAGATCATATCGCCATCAGCCACCGATGGAGGGGTTCGATAGAGGACTGTCGCTCGTTCTGGAGCACATGTTTAGATTCAGATCATGCCCTAGTGCGAGCACGTATTTGTTTGAGGCTTGCTGGACGTAGGAAAGACACCGTAAGGAAGCCTCTTAGGGCTTTACTTGATGATAATCAAGCTAAGAAAATATTTCAAGAGGAACTAGAAAAACAGTTGGGCGATCATGCAAGTGATTCCCATCCGGAGTCAGGTTGGAATGATATAAAGAAGGCTGTGGAAACAGCAGTGATATCTGCTAGCAAGGTAAACCATAAGGCTAGGATGAAGCCGTGGATATCAGTCGCATCCACCGAACTGATGGATGCACGAAAACGCATCCCACCTGACTCTGAACATGATGAAGAGCGTACTCAACTTAGGCGCAGACTTATAAAAAGCCTACGTAACGACCGTGAACAGTGGTGGGTGGCGAAAGCAAAAGCGATGGAAAAGGCAGCGGCGATAGGCAACACTAAACAACTTTTCCGCCTTATCAAAGAAACCGGTATTAGGAACCCGAATGTAAGTGAGACTATCTCAGAAAAGGATGGTCTTATTATCCATTCTCAATCTAGGAGACTGGACCGATGGGCAGAACACTTTAGGGATCAGTTCAACTGGCCTTCAGCCACTCTTCGGTTGCCCACGATCTCCAGTCATCCTGAATGGCAAATCGATTTAAGTCCTCCCAGTTTAAATGAAGTTGAGAAAGCTATAGGAAATCTAAGGAGAGGTAGAGCGGCAGGTCCCGATAGGCTCACCCCTGAGATGTTTAAGGATGGTGGTCCAGTTTTAACGGTTAAACTGACCGAGATCCTAGGTAGAATCTGGGAAATGGACGTAATCCCATCTGACTGGTCTCAGTCGCTAATTGTCCCAATCTACAAGAAAGGACAGAAGTCCTCTTGTGACAATCACAGGGGAATAAGTTTAACTAATATAGTTTCTAAATTGTTAGCCTCGATTATACTTAGACGTCTAACTAGAGCTCGCGAAGAGCAGACTCGAGAAAACCAATCTGGTTTTCGACCTGGACGTGGTTGTATAGACCACATCTTCACACTACGACAGGTCCTGGAACACAGACACACATTTAGACGTCCGACAATAGTCGTGTTCCTAGACCTTAAGGCGGCATTCGACTCAGTGGATCGTGAGGTTCTGTGGCAGTGTCTGTCATTGAAAGGTGTACCAAAGAAGTACATTAACCTTATACAAGCACTCTACTCGAACACCACTGGTCGGGTGAGAGCATATGGCGAACTGTCATCAGAATTCTCTACATCAAGTGGGGTCCGTCAGGGCTGTCCACTCTCTCCATTCTTGTTCAACTTTGTCGTAGACATCCTCTTAGAGTTAACATTAAGCTCGTCAGATTTTTCAGGGGTTGACCTTCTACCAGGAAAGTCGCTTACTGATCTAGAATATGCCGATGACATAGTTCTATTCGGTGAAGACGCTGACAAAATGCAGAGTCTTCTGACTACCATAAGCAACAATGCGAGCATGTTCGGGATGCGGTTTTCCCCCTCGAAATGCAAAATGTTGCTTCAAGACTGGGTTTCATCGGCACCTGAACTAGTGATAGGGAGTGAAGTAGTCGAGCGTGTTGATCACTTCACTTATCTGGGGAGTCTCATCAGTGCTGACGGTCTGGTGACTGACGAAATCTCAGCTCGGATACAGAAGGCTCGATTGGCTTTTGCCAACCTGCGTCACTTATGGCGTAGGCGTGATATCCGTTCGCTAACCAAAGGGCGGGTGTACTGCGCAGCAGTTCGTTCCGTTCTCTTATATGGCTGTGAAACATGGCCGTTAAGAGTAGAAGATGTTCGTAGGTTACTAGTATTCGATCATAGATGTTTAAGAAGCATTGCTCGTATATCGTGGGACAACCGAGTAAGCAATGCTGTCGTTAGGAAACGAGTACTAGGTAAGGATGGCAGATCAATCGATGAAGTGGTGAAACTTCATCAGTTGAGGTGGTTGGGACATGTGTTACGTATGGCTAACCACCGACTGCCTCGACGAGCTATGTTTTGTGGTGTAGGAGTAGGTTGGAAGAAAGCTAGAGGCGGCCAGACCAAAACATGGCAGAAATCCATGAAGTCACTGACAAGTGGACTGAGTCATGTTGGTAGATGTAGACTACCTGGTTGGGGTCCGCGAGACGAAAGTCATCAATGGTTAGAGACCTTGAACGACATGGCTCAAAATCGTTTGCAATGGCGCAGGTGCATCCACTCTTTGAGCTCTCTCAAATCGTAATCTTCTGGATTAGCCAGCACCTCTACCTTTGTCTTTCTAACCTTATCTCACTGAATTGTACTTCTTGAATAATATCTTCAAACACTAGTCTTCTTTATTACCATTAATACCTCTACTATCTCTATCACTATGGGATTTGATTTGACATTTGCGTCTCTGTGTATGAATGTGGTATGGCAACATGAACTTATGTACATACGTACGAAGTTCTACGTTGCAACTGACTGACTGACTGACTTTCGTAACTAGTGTGTTCAGAAGGGACACATCTTGACTGCCAAATCTGAAACACATTAAGCATTTTAGAGGTTTCTTATTGAATAGAAGCTCTTAGATAGTTGGAGGATCGAAACCAATGGCAACTGATGGAATATAACCGTTACAATTAGTTCATACATTTAAACGACAGATTTTTGTGCTAAGTCAGTTTATGTACTCGGTCTTGAGTTAAACATTTCACGAGTAATGATTACCTTAAGTCAGTTAAACCGAGATAGCGAGGTTCTAACGTAAGACTCAATGATTAAATTTTTTTTAAACATTGCAGCAAGTACGCAATATTTTAAGTACTTACTTGAACAAGATTATTGACTTTAAAAAAACTATTATAATGCGCAATATATATGCTGAACGGCTAATGTTTACATAAATCAGCTATTCAATACTGAAGCGATTCTAACGTAGTGGCTAATTTGCTTCACTCCAAACAGTTTTATGACGTAATAAAACAAGTAATTTGATTTCCAAAGTAAGCAATACTTTGCAGACCAACAACTTACAGAGGCGCAAAGTAATATTCCAATAAAACCGGCTCTCATGATTAGATGATGTAGAAAACGTTCAGCTTTCTTTTGAAAAGTAACTGGTTGGTCTGAAAGATTTGCAGCATCTTGATTTGACAAAATGGATTCCTGTAAATCCGACAATTCATCGTTGTATTCACCGGAAAGTCTAGCACCTCGAGCCATGAAATAAGGAGGTAATTCACCAAGCGCAGTCCCCAAGCCCTAAAAATATGTGGACGAACATAAATGTATGGTCAAGTATGAAAGGAAAACAACAAACAATCATGTAAATGAATGTACATGATTATCTCACTCAACAATGTAAACATGGTTCGAAAAATAAAATCATGCTGACAGTGGGGATTTAAAATTACCATCTACAAACAAAACCCTCAAATCTAGACAACAGAAAACACACGCCTGCTAGCTTAGTTTCAAGTCCGAACTATCTACTTGATTCCAAATTTGTACCCACTTTTCTTCTAGTGTAATCATTTTGATAAGTCCACACTTGTACTGATCTCTTTTTATTTTCAGTCGCCTTTCCATAATCATCCCTAATAATTAACAGATTGACCAACTGTTCAATTTGTTCTCTATCGCCGCTGCCTTTTCCATCGCTTTTGCTTTCGCCACCCACCACTGTTCTCGATCATTGTGTAGGCTTTTTATAAGCCTACGTCTAGGCTGGCTCCGCTCCTCATCGCACTCAGAGCCAGGCGGGATTTAATAAGTTCAAACAGAAATTTCCTAGGATCTGGAATTCGTGTAAACTATTACGTACAGGAATTCAATGAACATATGAGAAGTAGGAAAGTACGGACCGTCAAAGGCACACTGAGATTTCTGTAGGAAGAACTCAGAGAACCGGAAATATTCCGACAATTAAATTCCAGACCATTCTAGGCGAAAAATGTCACTATTAAATGTCTAGTAAACTAAACAAATGCATGCTGTGATTGATTTCTACTCAGTTATGCAAACGGCTATTCGTGACACTATCCTAATGAATGGGAAAAATAAGTCAGTTAGCGAGTATCTGCAAAGTGTTTAGTGTAGTTTCTCAACCAAGTGATAAATTTCAGGAGCTTTGGATTTATAAATAATCAGACAGTAAAAATAAACACTAGCGGCGGTAACTATATGTGAAAACATTAAAACTATTAAAAGTGTATTACTGAGAGAAAACTGCAGTTCAACGGTTTAGTAACATCTAAGTGATAACCTACAGAAAGACATTAATTGTCAGTCAGCGTCCCGAGGACGATGTCTCAGACCACATATTCAGTCCCCAATGAGGCATATAATAGGTAAACATTATTACCAATCTTTGGCACACTTGTAAAGCATTGGGTAAATGATCCTTGAAAGCGGACATAAGGATGAGAAAGATGAGAATAACTGATAGTCTGAGAACAGAAAATAAAGGAAACATAGAACTGAGAATAGTGAGTCGAAAGCCATTAGTCGATTACTGTTTGATCAACGTACCCACATAATTGACTCCATTTGCACCTTCCGCATAATTTTCCAAAATGTGATTCTTTCATTTAGATTTGGATTATCCGGGCATATAATTCTATCGGGATAAGGTGGGCTTGGAAATTCAAGTGTTTTACATTCATATGCACTCATTGTAACTTCAGCTATAAACGGACCCTGTCGAAAAGTTTGTTTTTAACACAAGATAACCTACTAGATACAAGACAAAAGTATGTAAACCAGTGCCGAATCCGCACGACGATAGAAACCCAAGCCAAATCCACCACGACCACCACAAGAAGGTTGATTTTATGAGATCAAAAGTCTGAAGATAATGGAGATAGATTAGCAGCTTACTTGAGAATGAGGACCATCCAAACAGTCTAAAACAACAAATAATATCATTACGCTGATAGCAAAAACGCATCTAGTCTTGTTTCGGGCAAAAGTAAAACGCAGTTGAGCGAATCTAAATATACACTCCCAGACAAAATAATACATCGTTAGCAAGGGAGACCTCCAAAAGCAAAGTTGATCGCGTTCCATTTTTTCTCTTATTTTTATCTGTGCTTTGGCATGAACACCGTTTTGTTGATGTTTGACCTTTTTTTCCATCGCCATTAAAATCGCAGAAGTTTGTTATGCAGTTTCCTGAAACAATTTGTGACCAGTGTATGGAACGAAAGGCATGGACGAGTCCCAAGTGTGGGACGTACAGAAGTGTATCGGTGGCGTGACCTTCAGAAAAACAGACTGCAGTGCGTTCGAAGCCTATTTACGATTATCAGGCAGTCCTAGACTTACTCCTTTTTTGTTGCTAACTGGTTCTGATTGCCTTGATTTTGCATTCCATTTACTTAAAGAGTTGTCTGTTAACTGCTACTTTTGTTCTTTTCGAACTCAGATTCTCGCACTACAACACACGTTCCCTAGCACATAGTATTTTCAGGCTAGACGCAGACCTGCCAAAGGTTGAACGTTAACAAGCTCTACCACTGCAGCCGAGATTTTATGATGAGCTAATATAAACAATTGGATTTATTTATTCTGTGATGTTAAGTTAACCCCCAAGTCTTCGACATTGTTACCTCATTAGTTTTGGTGTTACACCCTAGCTGAAAGCTCTCGGTTACGTATCTGCACTGGATAATCATGGAGTGCGCCGTGCAATTTATCTCCTTGCATCAAACAGAAAACTTAGATCACTCAATCCTCAACATACCAACTATTATACAAACATACCTTCGGCACTCTTCATTCTTAACTGCTGGTTTGAGTTGGTTTATGGTATTTACAATCTAAAAAACATGATGGGAAGAGCGTTATCTAATTCTGAATATTTTTGACATCTTCAGTACTCATGTTATGATGTGTGGAAATGGCTAAAGATTTTCTCTAGTGTCCCATGAGGTGCTGTCAATTGTTCTGTTCCTCATGCTGTCATAATAATCTTACTGAAAAAATAACTCGAAATTATTTGGTATTCACGTTGAATGTTTTATATTCGCTGGATACGGAACTAGTTGGAAACTGTCCCCTCAGATGATGTCACGACAGTTATCTTGGAAAAAATTGTGGAACAATGTGGGTTTTGAGTTACGGCAAAACCTGGTGGTGAAATATACTGCAAGTAAAATTCTCTGCTATATACAACATAAAATGGTACGTCAAAACACAGAATTTCACAATCAAAGTCACACTTGAAATTATCTGTTTATGTTCTCTTGATTGCAAATGTTACAACAGGGTTGTAAAATATTTTCTATTAGAAGTATCAAATGAGGCATTGGAAGGAGTTGTGTTTAGAACGGGTATTTGTGGCAGTTAAAGGTAGTTGAACTAGTTATCTGTATCAGTTTTATGCCATTTTGAGCGATATTGTAGCATATAACACTTCTCCAGAGAAAAAAGATATTGAGAAATCAGTAATGGTACTAGTGATTACGTGCAAACTGGCTCACATCTTGTACTAAGTTACTTAGCGGCCTATCATGTTTTGGAAAAAGCAGGAAAAACATTTAGCTTTCCGACTACTAAGATTTCGTGGTTTTGGGACTCAGGAGAAGCAGATTCGCCGAGAGGTTGAAAGTAAACTGAAGTTTGATCTACCTCATTCTATACTAGGGTAGAGCCACCTTCCATGGCTTACAGATTTTCAAAGGTATCTCAAGTTTGGTGGGTTAATGCTTACTTACATACTTATACCTGTTACTCTAAATGGAGCATAGGCCACCGACCATCATTCTCCAACCTACTCTGTCCTAGAGTTCGCTTTCCAGTTCGGTTCAATGTATGTTCATTCTTCTCATATCTTCCTCTATTTCTCGGAGTAATGTGTTTCTTGGCCTTCCCCTTTTCCTTCGACCTGCAGGGTTCTAAGTGACGGCTTGTCTTGTGACGCAGGTGAGTGCTATCCGCAGTGTGTATCCTATCTACTTCCACTGTTTTTTCTTGATTTCCTCCTTCGCTGGAATCTGGTTAGTTCTATCCCACAGTAAGTTGTTGCCGACGGTGCCTCACCAACGGATCCGAAGTATTTTGCGTAGACAACCATCGGTGAACACTTGTATCCTCTGGATGATGGCTCTGGCAGCCTTCCAAGTTTCCACCCCATACAGTAGGAGTGCCTTGACATTTGTACTGAAAATTCTGATTTTGGTGTTGGTTGATATTTGTTTGTAGTTCCAGATGTCCAACTGTAGAAATGTAGTGCTTGTTTTGCCGATCCACGCCCTCACATCTCCATTTGAAATACCTTGCTCGTCAATGATGCTGCCTAGATATGTAAAGGTTTCAACTCCCACCAACGCATCTCCATCAAGAGTGATTTGGTTTGTGCATGTTGTGTTGTATCGGAGAATCTTGCTTTTCCCTTTACGTATGTTGAGACCTGCTGCAGTTGAGGCTACCGATACACTGATCGTCATCTCTTGCATTTGTTGTTGCGTGTGCGATAGAAGAACCAGATCATCTGCGAAGTCCGGATAATCCGTCTGCATCCTGCTTGTCCACTGTAAACCATGCTTCCCTCCAGATGCCGACATCCTCATTATCCAGTCGATCATGCAGCAAAAGCGAGAAGGTGAGAGTAAGCAACCTAGCCTGACACCAGTCTTCACCTCGAACGAGTCCATCACCTGTCCTCCGTCCACGATTTCGCAGTCTAAGCCATCATAAGAATTCCGTATGATGTTAACTATCTTCTCAGACACGCCAAAGTGTTGTCCTGTCCACGCTATCGAATGCTTTCTCGTAGTCAATGAAGTTGATGTAGAGTGGTGAGTTCCATTCAATTGATTGTTCCACAATGATCCTTAATGTAGCAATTTGGTCAGTACACGATCGATCCTTACGAAATCCGGCCTGTTGATCTCGAAGTTGGGCGTCTACGAAGTCCTTCATTCTGTTTAACAATACCCTGTTGAAGACTTTGCCTGGTATTGAAAGAAGAGTCATGCCTCTGTAGTACTAACACTTGCTGAGACCGACTTTCTTTGGTATTTTGATCAGTTATCCTTTTTTCCAATCTGATGGTACTTGTTCCTCATCCCAAATCTTCTTGAAGAGGATGTGAAATATTTTCGCAGTTGCTTCTACATCTGCTTTCATTGCCTCTGCTGGAATGTTGTCTGGTCCTGCTGCCTTGCCGCTCTTGATTTGTCTGATGGCCATACTGATCTCCTCAATTGTAGGTGCGCCAATAATAATTGGGAGGTCCGTGGATGCTGCTTCGATGTTGGGTGTGTTCAGTGGAGCTGGTCGATCCAAGAGTTCCTTAAAGTACTCTACCCACCTGTTTCGTTGTTCTTCAGTGTTCCTGATCACTTTGCCTTCGTTGCTTTTCACTGGCTGTTCTGGTTTACGATAGCTATCAGCTAGCTTATTTGTTGTATCGTACAATTGTCTCAAGTCTCCTTCTCCAGCAGCAGTCTCCGCAGTCATTGCGAGATCTACGACGTGATTTCGTTTGTTGGCTCTGATGCCCTTCTCCACTTCCCTGTTTGCTTATGTGTATTCAGCTTGTGCCCTTGTTTTCTCTGCTCTTGTTTGGCTGATGTTGATTGCTGCCTTCTTATTCCACCTTTCTAAAATTTTTGCACGGGTACCAACAGAGAATAATTCGTTGTGATGGTACTTCTTGTGACCCAGAACGTTGTGAGATGTTGGAGTGATTTCCTCCTTGGTCCCTTTCCAACTGTTCTGCATGATTGTTTCCTCTCCATTGAGTAAATCGTGCAAGGCCTCGAACCTGTTGAGGAGGGTCATCTTGAATCTGTTGAGCTTTCCAGAATCCCGAAAAATAGCGTAATAAACTTTTATGATGTTTACCGCCCTGTTGTTCAGTGTTCCGGGAGTTTCGGTCTCATTTTGGTGATCAAATAGTGGTGATCTAAGGCTACTTGAGCTCCTCTCTTGGTTCTCATATCCTCCACGGTCCTTCTGAACCTTTTATTGATATAGGTATGATTGATACAATTCTGAGTAGTGTGTCCCGGTGAAATTGATGTGGCTTTGTGCATGCGTTCGTGTGGGAATATTGTGCTGCCGATGACCAGTTTGTTGAAGACATATAGATTTGCAAACCTCTTACCATTTTCGTTCCTTTCTACCAGTCCATGTCGTCCCATGATGTCTTCACAACCAGTTTTGTCCATGCCGACCTTTTAATTTAGGTCTTGCACCAGAATTGTCAAATGATTGTCAATGATTGACTGTAGCGCCTCGTAGAATTGATTAATTGATCGTGGAAGCCCTTTAAGTGTCTGACATAAATGTTTATTGCTTGACTCCAATCTTTCAGACAGTAACTCAAGTTTCAGAAGGGCTGTACTGACTGATTATCATGAATTTAAGAGTCACATTTATCAACCGTTTCATGTTTTAAACTGCTTGATAATATCCTAGTGATACTTTTGACTTGATAATAATGATAATAATTTATTCTCCAATAACATGTTACAAGAGGCATGCCAATTACAGGCAAGATCACAGTGGTTAGTGACAATAAAAAAGTTCTTTATATTTTTAAACATTATTTCTAATCGTCAGTTTAAAACGGTATAAATAACTAACATATTGTTAGCTGTGGCATAAACGTTTGTTGTAAAATTAAGAATCTCTATATAGAATAGAGAAGTTGTTGTTCTTCTCCAGCAGGCCTATATTAGCTTGTTTGATCGTTTAGAAGTCTGAAGTTCTGTTGTTCCAGTGCTCTCCATGGATGACTTTGGAATTCATATGATTAGGGTGATCTCAGGTACTCCGGTGTTTCGGAATATATTCCACATGCTTTTATAATCCAGTCCGTCAAAACTGACAAGCTCATTTACAACTAGTGCCATCTGACCAATAGCTCAGAAATGGTCAACGGTGTCACGAATTGGCTGTCACGCGTTCGATCCCTACAAAGTCTTGTATGAGGATAGCTCAGATGAGCGTCTACCGTCGAAAATATTCCCTAGCACTCGTAATAAAATGACGCCCTAGTTGTTTTCACAATTACCCAACTCGACCACTGATATAATGATGGGTAGCTGGTGCTGGGTCGTTACACGTTGGATGGAATTAGCATAGCCTAGCTTCATCTACGCCAACCCTTGCGGTCGGTGCCTAACTTAGTGGACCTTATCTTGACAACGTGGCGCATTGGCTTCGTCGGTAACTGATCAGGGTGAACAGAATGGCTCAAAGTTAAATGACGGAGACAAAAGAAGTTGGAGAAAACGAAACAAAAATATGGTTTAAGACATGAAACCGAATAGTACCAGTTGGTTCTCTTTTATACCGACAACATCCGTTCAACTGTCTGACGATCCCTGGTTCACTTTCGGACATAAAACAGTGTACCTTGGGGTAAGATGCTTTCAGAAGTTTCAATGTAGTTTTTTCACCATTTTAAAGTATCTATTTTTACAGCTCATTGATACCTGTTATAAGATCCAAACTGAGGTTTGGATTGAAA